TACCATGTGGCTACCTTTGAATAAGGATGAGTCAGTTTTAAGTGCCAGGAACACTGGAAGGTAGGTTTTAGAAAGTGGAAAATAACTTACCCAGCTAAAACAGGGGGAGAAATTTGGGTAAGCAGAGAGTAATTACCCGCCTTGGAATTTGACCAAGACACAAAGGTAAACACTGAAAAAGTGCCACACCACTGGAGTATTAAAAACCAAAGTAGTCTGGTCTTGATATTAGAGGTTATGTGGTTTTTGTGGATAACACTGGAATTAGAACTAGAGCCTAGTTCACAGCTCCCATTCAGGGTCTTTCATCAGTTTATGACCCTGGAAACTTTGGACAAACGACTTAACCTTTCTGTCTCTCATTTTTCAATTTATTTATTAGGGAAGTGCCTGCCTAATTCGCATGGAGTTTACTAGGAATATATATAGATATATATATAGATAGATAGATATAGATATATAAAGGAGTTTGCTATCTTGAGACATTGTGTAAATCTACATCATCATGCCATTTTATTGAAACACTGGCAACAATTCAGCCCAGGCTAATGTCCATGAATCTACTTAATATGGAAATGATCATGGCACCTAAAGGATCTGCATCTCTCACCTCTGGTCCAAGTTCTTTCTGCACCTAATTATGTTTAGATGAGCCAGCTAATGGACTTCCAGGCTCAGTAAGGATGGCTGCAGGCCAATGGGACAATAACACACACATATAACAATATAACATCTTCTTTCTGCTATAGAGTCGGATATAAATGCTGCAGACTCTAATATTTTTAAAAATGTCAATGAATAGTTAAAAACATACTGCTCACTACATGGAACATGGCCTTGGTAAAGATGTTTTCAATTTTGGGGGCCTGCAAACAATTCTATTACTGTCTAGTAGTTCCTCGGCAATTTCAGAGCCACAGGATCGCAAAGGAGCCCAGGGCCATGATTATACATAAACTATATTTAGATGAAATGTTATCAAATCTAAAAAGGAGATATGTTCTGAACTCAGCTTAATTCAGCTGCACTCTGCCCTTCCACACAGTAACCAGTTATTACTTTCATGGGCTCGTTAACAATAAAGCTCTGTGGAAAACGTGTTCTTCCACTATTTCTGGTAAACACGAAACACCCCTTATTAAGCCGAGGACTTTGGCTGATTCTGTTGGCATCAAATCATTAAATGTTCATGTAAATAGTACATTAACATTTGATGATTAAACAAGTAGCAAGGTATGCATATGCCAAGCTAATCTTTTGCGCCTTCTAAATTAGTTGTTAACACAGTGTGCTTTTTATATATATTCCCACATTCAGATAACAACTAAATCTTTCCCTGAGGTGTATTCATATTTTAAACAGGCAGTATATTGTCCTATTGAGTGATGGTCATTTCCACAAGAAATTATAAATCCTCTCAAAAAATGCAATTCACTTATTTAATCATTTTGCCTGGGAAACGATGCAAGTCTTTGTGTTGAAGTAGAAATGTTTGTTTTTTTTTCTCTTTGGACAGCAAAAAAGTACTGAGCATAAAGCTAATCCAACTGAGTCATCATTGGCAGCTGCTACCAAGGTGGCTGTTGCCATCACCATTTTCATACGGCCATTGGTGTCAATTGCTGAGTTATTAGTGACATGGGAAAAGGTGCGGTCTAACAGGGAATTCAAAGATTGGAAAGCCTCTCTTTAGAAATTTGGTGAGAGGACTTAGCTAAGAATGTCAATCTGATCTTCAGTGTTTACTGTTTAGAAATGTACTCCCATTACTCTTATATGAGCAACTGCTTGCAGTGTGACTGGGCACAAAGTCTTTATCACGTTATTTGTTGGGTTTCTATGCTGAATGGTCTTTTGTAAACTGATAACACACACCGCACTATGTGCTGTTGGTGAATTTAATTTGTGATCTTATTGAGCCTCAGATGACTCAGCTGAGCACCATGTGGAGATGCTAAATTGAACTCCTCCATCATCAGCATCACTCTTGCTGGCAGAGCGTGGGTAGTGTTTATGGACATTAAGGTTGAGGTTGGCTAATTAACCAGTAATAAAGTAAGTGAGCACACTATCAAGGCTGAGTACCTGAAGGCCGATTAAAATGTCATTTGTGACTTGACCCAGCGCTGATTTTACATCTTCAATGGTGAAACCAACTAAAGGATCGGTCTCTGAAATACCGGCTTTTGGCTGGGACTCTTCGGGGCCTTGTTCTGGATTCAACCCCTAGAATATTAAAAGTAAATAACACTCAAGTGATTTCTGGAGCCTTTATTGATTTGTATGTAACCTCAAACGTCTCTTGGGTACTTTTCTACCAGAAATGATGTCAATCTGGAAGGAGATTTTGACGTGGCTTTATCCTGCATTTTCTTTATTCGTGAGCACCATGACAGATCAAGTAATGGTACTTTCTTACTTTGGGGAAAGTGAAGGTGGAGACTGGGGAGGATGGAGTAGAAGAGACTAAAACTGCTGAACCACCCTCAGCTGGCCCACCCGTGAATCAATGCTGAAGGAAATATTCATGTTTGGCTGGGAAAAATCAGAGGGAAAGAAACATCAGAGCATTGGGCTCTTTTTCTCCTGCCTCTACAGGATACAATGCTGAGACAGGGCAAATTAAGACACAAGGAAACTTACCTTCATTTCTGTGTCCACTGTTGGAGGTGGCTCTATGAATGCTGAGTAAATACCAAATGCGATTCCTTCTTCTAGAGGATCAGGGAAAGGATGCCCTGGAGGCTTCACAACCTCTATGACTTGCTAGAGGGGAAGAGAAGAGCTGTATTATGACAAAGCCTTTGGTGAGTAACCACAATTTCAGTCAGTATCTACAAATTTCCAAGGCTATTCTTTTTTAAGTACCATCTCCTCTGAATTCTCGATGCCTCTGCCCTCTTAGTTCTCTGGTGCTTTTTGTGTTCTGTATCTGATAATTGGCTTTGTAGTTTCCCCTACTGTCTTGATCTTGAATTGCTTCATGTGTCCATGTCCCCTTCCTCCCACCTACACGCTCTCTTTAGGCAGAGATCATATTTTAGATCCTCTGTGTATCTTCTCAGGTTCTGGCAGAGAGTTTGGTGCTTAAAACACTCAACAACAGCCTGATGGTGGCTGATATTACTCGGCAGAGTACAGCTGTTCATGTAGGCAACAGTGAAGTGGCCATCAGAACTTGGTGACGAGGACCACAAAGGCTCTAAAGGTTAATGCATAAAGCCAGCACACAGTAACTCCGAGAAGATATCTGCAAATTCAACCAAAAACGCAGAGGATGAGACATGAAGTCACTGTCAGCATTTAACAATTCTGCAGCAAGACTGTGCCAACCAGAGAAAGGGAGACGGGTGGGTCACAGTGAACGTGCATAAATGAGTCAAATAAGTCAATTTACGCAGTGTCCATCTCACCAAGACTTGGGGCAGAGAAAGGAGATAAGGGTACTGACGGCATTAAACATCTGACTCCTTGAATTAGTTCTTCTTGTTCTGATTTTGTGTTTAACAGGCAACATTCTGATCTTAATTTGACTTCCCATCTCAATTCATCTATAAAGACATGCCCACTTGAGTGCTATGATTTTCATGCCTATTACATTTCCCACTGTAAATCAGTAAATCTGTGTTCTAGTTTATACAGTAAGGTCTCTGGAGCTTGTTTTTGTGGTCCTGGGATGAAGCCACCCACTGTATGCTGACAAAGTCAGACTCCGAGCCTGAAGTTTTAAAACCAAACTTGAGAAATGCATATATTCACCACATAGTTACTGTCCCATGGGACTTGGAAAAACTCAGAAATCACCATATTCATTTCTAAATTCTGCACAAAATTTCAAAGAGACTTATATATTATAATATTTTATCATTTAAATATTAACAAGTTTTGATATAGACAGGTTTTGGAATGAACTGGAGGCTAAGTTATTGCTTGGTCAAACCAATGTATTTTTTTGCCTTGAATTAATATTACTAATTTTAATTTGATTTTATAGGAAGTTGCTACTTAGTATAAATATATAGAAGAACTGAAGTGTTGTAACTTCAGAGTCAAGGCAGTTTAGAAATTAAGAGATTAAATGATTGGTTTAAGGTCAAATAATTACTTAGTGACAGGGCTAGGAGTTAAACCTTGGTGTGCTGACACTGTGGCCTCTGCAGTTTTCAGTAAACTGTAATATGTCATCATGTTCCCATACTTGGAAATTATTGATATTATTAAGCACTTAATCTTTATTCTGGTAGATGACATCATTCCAGATTGTTTATCTTAAGCTGACTGAATGTTAATCAAAATAGAATATCAAAAAAACATATCACTACACTTATTTTCTCTCTTCACATTCATAAGCCATTGGTTTTTTTTCCCCTAAATGGGCTATACAAGCATTTTCATCTTCCCACAAAATTACTTGTATCTTTTTTTTTACCATGCTTGTTTTTTATCCTCCCATATCTTATATTGCTTTTTATTTTACCAAGCTAGAAAAATGAAATAGCTAAATGTATTTTAGTGTCCTCTGAAACATTATAGGTAAAATCAATAAGCTGTACGGGGGAATCCAGAGACAAGAGAAGGTAATGAGGTATTTACTTAGTGCACTAAAGTAGACTAAATTTACTAAAGTAGACTTTAATATAGGGTGAAAATAGAAATTTGAGGGGAGTAGTGGTGAGTTAGACATTGGAAAAAGAAGAGAAAAGGGAACTAAATGGAGTTTATTGAATGTACTGCAGGCATTGAGAAATTAAGTATGAGCTAATCTGCAGGTAACAGTATTTTCTTTTAAAGAAGCAGAATTTTATTTTCTTTGTCTTGCTGGTAGGCTTTTGCATACACAGGTTAGGACTTTTTGCTAAGCTGCTTTCTCCTTGGTGGAAGTTATCAATAGATCACCTCTCCATCCTGGTAGTAGAGAATTCTACCAACACATGTGCCCTTTCTTCCATCAAATTATACAGTTAAATACAAGCAGATACTTGTGCTCAAGTATCTCATTTTATCCTTTGCATCCCTGTGGTCTGGATTTCTTTGTAAGGCTCATCTGAACTTCTTGCCAACTACCCAGTTTTCCTGCTCTTTGGTACTGGTGTGTGAGTGTGTGTGTGTGTGTGTGTGTGTGTGTGTGTGTGTGTGTACTGGGCACAGACTTGGAAACCTGGAACTCCTCAGCTCCATGGATGGGGTGAAGCTCCTATTTATCCCAAGAACCTGAAGCTCTGACTGAGAGCTGGGTTTTTTCTATTCCTTGATTTTTATGAGTATAGCTCATACAGCTATTCATTTGATTTAATTCATGCACAAAAACTGGCAGTGAGAATTTCTTTTCTTCAGGGAGTTTTGCATACTATCAAGAACCAAACCATTGTGATTTTTTTTTCTTTCAAGAAGAGTTACATTTGGCTATGTTGCAAGATACCGTAAGGGAAAGAAATGTCCCAATTTCAAATGAGGATAAATATAAAGTCATTTCATTAGTAATAAGAAGGTACGCTGTCAAATATATAGTCTGAAATAAACACAGTGCCCAGAAGCATTATAGTGATTTTTTTCCCCTGTTAAGTAGCTTTTTTAAAAAACAAGTTTAAGGAAAATGAGAATCAATAAATGTGGTAAGAGCACAGGGCCAGCAAATATGTTTAAATGAAACCGTCTGATGCAATACTTTCTTAAAAAAATACAATTAGGCCTTTGTATTTTTTTTAACAAAACCTCATGTTTTACAACATCACTGGTTCTGTAAAAAAATATATTTAAAACAGAAAGACATGGTCAGCTTTAATAAGTTAGATTTTCTGAAAGAACATTATAATTTCCTCAAGTCTATTAATAGTTGAAGCAAATTAAATAAAGCTAGTTTTATCACTATTTTTATACATTCCTGTAGAACTGTAATTGTCTCATATTTTTTCCTCAAAAGTATAATATGTTACCTCTTAAATCTAGAAAATAGAAACAGAAAAAGGATCAAGTATGTTTATTAAAAAAACACTCCTATTTGGTACTCTGATTTAGCAATCCCTTTTTCTTCTGTGAGAGAACAGTACCCATAATCTTCAGATCAGGAAACAAAGGGAAAGACTGTAAGTGACTTGCCTGAGGCCTAATGCTGAGATTAAAAATCAGGAGTTTCTGATTATACACGTACATCCATTTGGCCCAATGATTGGTTTTGCTTGACTTTCAAATACCCCCTAAATATTACTTTGAATGTAAAGCAATAAATGTGTTTCTCTTGCCATTTTTGAAAACTTGCACACAAATGGATATAATAAAAACAATCATGTTGTTCCATGTGAATGCCATTTGTATTTTTTCTGATAATGAGCAGGCCATTTGAACCAAGGTGAGTACATTAAAAGCTCTAATAAAGAAGAGAATAGATTTCTAAACAGAATAATGAACTGTTAAGTAAATGTACAATAAATAACATCTACAGATGTGGTTGCAAGAAAATTAGTTTTGCATAACTTACCAATATACATTTTCCCCAGATGTTATCAGTTACATGAAAATTAACTTATGTTAGTTATATTATTCATTACGTGCACACTGCATTAGTGTTATTTAAAATGGTTTATAATCTGAGTTTAGTTGAATCGTGCCATGGTATTTAAAGAATATCAAGTAAATGGCTTTTTGGCATAATTTAATACTCAAAAGTACAAAATTTCATCACCAAGCATTATGCAGCTTAAAAATAAAAAATCCAGGATCTTTACTTACAAGCCAAATGAAATCACCAGAACTCTTAAGAATTTACATATTCAGTACGAAATGGACAGCTACCAAGGGAATAAATCATACGAATTTTGAAACTCCTGGAATGAAGGACAGGGTCAGTTTAGATCTAAAAAATATTTATATGGATCAGAATCTGCTTCCATGTCTTACCGTGTCTGAGAAGTATAAAGATTTTATTGGAAAACTGTGTTACTTCATGTTTTCTCTTTCTACTTTATGCATTAACATTATTGGGAGCATTAACTCTATTGTTTTTGTTGTTATTTCTTATTTTTGTTGTTGTTTGTGTTTACTGCTATTTATTTATGATTGTTTTTCTTTGAGAAAGTGTAGGTGATCTGTGGGTCGTGTTTGTATCACTGAAATCTATGATTAAGATGGCAATTATTAAATTCAGTTATTAAATTATTCCAAATATCAAAAATGCCACTGAGATGACAACTTTCCACAGTTTTGAACAGCAAAAAGTAACTCTTTTGAGCTATAGACACACATAAAAAACTGATCTGCTTCAAAAAGACATTTGTTTGGAATTGTCAGATGATGATGACTTCATATGTAAATCAAAACTTACTACAAAATGTCAAAGTTTCAAAAAGCAACCTTTATGGCAAACTTCTCCCAATACTAAGGGGAAAAGGCACAAAAATTCCTGTAATGTTTTAACTATTTCCTCTCTTTGAACAAAGGCAATTACTCATTTGCAAGTCTAATTAAGAAGTGCTGTGTCATTCTAGAAAATTTTAACGCAAATTGTAACCCGCTGCCTACAACGTACTATACATAAAGTAACAACACGTGAATGCCACCTGCAAAATGCAATCAATTCTGGTAATGTCATACTGAGGCCATAAATTTGAAGTCAAAGAGAGGAAATTCAAAAGCTGAGATTATCAAACTTTAATTCATTCATTTCTAAAGTGCTTTTCTTTTGTGTTTAGGCCATTACAAACTTTTTCACACACCCTATAAATGTAGAATATCAATTCTGCTACAAGGGCCCTCCTCCCCCTTTGCATTTT